CGTAAGATATGGTGTCTTTTACACAAACGTTTATTGCAGTACTTAGAAAAAAGAACGAATATTAGTAAACAAGTAATTAAAAGTCTGGGACGAGAAGAATACTGATTTCAAAATAAATTGTAAACAAAGTTTTAAGAAGAGAATTTTCATATAGACTCTTTCCTAACCGAAAGTCTTAAATGTATCCAATTGGGACCTATGGAGTACGACTCTCTGTCAATAGGCCACATATTGAGGTGGGTATAGGGAATTTCCAGAGGTAGAAGAAGACTGTGTGTGGATCCAGGAGGATGGATATAAGCAAGGGCAAAATGATTTGACGAAGCTGTGGTAGGTTGACTCGCCAACCTACAGGTTAATCTATTGTCGTGTAAAAATGGTGCCACACAAGAAATGCAATCTAGAGGTGCTTGCGGTCAACCTAGCTTTTCTAAGATATCAAAGGTTCTGAATTATGAGGAATCCAGTGAATACGAACAGGTTCAACATAGAGGCTAGCTTAGGAAAATAAAATATTTCAACCGAGAAATATAGGGTCGAAAAGAAGTCAATTAATTTCTTCGAAGCTCAATATTTCTTTCTACTAAAACCACTTCGCGACGACTTACCCGGTACCAATCTAATTACTGGATACTATCCTGAGCCCTTCATAGTTTTGTGTGCCCACGACGTTTGATACTCTCGCCCGTCGCGTGCCGCGGCCCTTTTCTGCGTTGGGAACTCTTCCACCACATCCCGGACTCAGTTTCAATTACTAGATTTTCATCCAAGGCTCTACACCAATAACCTCTCACATGAATTACTCTTTGCACATAATTACACCAAAAGTGTGTCGCTATTGCCCGTCTCCTGTCTCCTCTTCTTGTCATGATTACATTTTATGGTTCACCAAAAATGTAGAAACCTGCGGTAGGTGACAATTGTAGTGGCAACCGCTACGCTACGTTTGTAAATATTTTAATTATTAAGTAGATAGTGAGATTAAATATAAAATTTATTCTATGCGTTTAAATGCTATATTAATTAATTGATTATCAATTAATTTAAACGTTTAAACAATTTATATATTCTCAACATTTTTATAATTTTACGTGGACTTGACTTACTATCAATATGATTTGATCATTAAAAACAAGTCACATAATGTAATACAATTCTAAACAATCACGTTTGATATAATCAAAAGACATTGACACGCGTTTCAAATCATGTTGCCCTTTGCTTTTATAATTCTATCTAAATTAGGGAACTGCATCTCGTCATCGTGCACCACATCTAAGGGTTGTATTTGGGGATGACCTAAAAAGTGTATTTTTTTTGTCTTTATACGATTAAAGACTGCTGCAAAAAAAGTAAAGAGGGTTATGTGATGCGGAAAAAAAAGATAAACAGACACGCAGATGGATCATTTGAGGTGCTATGCTCAAACTTATATTAAGTTTATCTGACTAGTCTCTTGTTTAAAATTAATTAACAAGTTGCTTTACAATAACCATTTTTCTAAAAAAGAGAAAATTATATCAACTATTTTTATTTTTATTTTTATTTCTTTTTTACCAATAATATAATCCACATTAGTGAAATATGAGTAAGACAATTTAAATGTATCTATAACATTTATTTATGAAAAATAAATGCCAAATTATACTTATTTTACTCTCATATTGCAGTGAGAACATGGGAAATGCTAGGTGGATGAATACCGCGAACGAGAAGGTAGGTGGAAGAGTCAAGCTACTAGCTATAGGAGGAGCATAAATGCAAGATGAAACATGTCACGAGATGTTTGGAAATTTGGGATCCATACGAGGACAGATTTTGTCGCCTCAGTTTGTTGTTTCTACAAACATAGCCGCCAATGTTCTAGTGGATGAACCCAGTGGGTCGGGCTCCTTGAGAAATGTGAATGCTATTAAGATGCTGATCAGAGAGGATCAGGATTACTCTCATGCACTATGTATGCATGTCTGCTGAAGGGTCTGTCTGAGTTTTCATGTTTTACTCAAGAAAGGTGTGTGGTATACATTCTTGCCCTGACACAGATGCTATAGTCATCACCATATTGGATTATCAAATACAGGTAACCCATTAGTTGCACAAACTATATCAACAATGTTACGTTAATATCGCATTTTCTAAACTTTTGTACACACACTCAAATAGATATGTATCCACATACATATTAAATCGTATACATACCTACATGAGTGTGTGTTCAAATAGATCAAGGTTTGGACCGTTCAGTCTAACTAGTAGGCATATCAGATAGAGTATCACTTTTGTGCGTTTTTTACGTTTTCGTTATCCTAAAACTGTGCATTTTAAGACCGCCGAACCGGCATCATTCATACAAAAAAATCAAGTCGATGATAACGGCAGTCACGTGTTGGCATCAGTGTATTGGGCAAAAAAATGACAGTAAGGAAAATAAACAGGTTCATACCAAACTTATCCGACAAAAAAATTTGTCGTTTTCCCGATCGACCTCGCATTTTTTGCCATAAATTGATATACTCATGGAATCCGTGAAAAATCAGTGAAACAGTGTCAAATCATCTCAAAACTAATGCCGCCTATAAATCAGGGTCCACTACATGGAACTAAACGATACAATTCTTGTATCTCGTTAGTGGGACAAAGAATCAAACAGAACTCAAACAACTAACAATTCATTTATTCTATTAAAGTCTGCTCTGCCCCATCTTTCGGATAGGTCATCCATATCCGAGTACAGAGAGGCTACTGGGAATCGAGATTGAAATATGTGTAAGTATATTATGCTTTTGTACATGGCACAGCAACTAGAAGATCGGTGCAGTCATAAGGATAGTGGAAGCTAACTCCTTGTCGGCTATGGTGTGAGGAAGAAATGAGCACAGTTTTTTGTTGTTATTTTATTTTAAAATACTTAAAATTGCATGGAAACAAATTGCATGCTTTTTTGCATCTCAAGCAAGGATTGAATTATATATAAAAAAATCAAAATGATTATGTATTTCTATATGCATGCTAGGATCGTAAGACATGACCTCAGTCGGGGTAATAAAGTTAAGTATTCTTTTTGGGAGGTGGGAGCTTATCGAGATTAATGTGCACTCTCCAATGGGGGGAGATGGAATTTTAGTGTAGACAAATATAGGGTCTTAAAATAACTCAAGTAAGAGCTATCACAAATTCATTTTCATATCGATGTAATGTTATTCGCTAACCCTGCACGATCTTGATAATTTTCTCGTGACGCAATCTGAAACATAGCTAATATCTATAATGCACCGATAACTGATCTAGATGGCGAAAAAATGCAAAATGGAGATTCAACAGTGTTTGGTTGATCAAGTATATCATTATGTGCTACACCTGTTAAATTGATATGAGGACGGTACGATAATAATCCAGCAATTTTTGGCATTGCATTCGGTTTGATGAGACTGAGACCAAGATGTTAGTTATGTATATGAAGAAGCATGGAACTTTGGCCTTGCGTTCTAGGGTTTTAGATTGCCCTTTTCCTATAATACCAGCTGATAGCCGTTGGATAGGGGCATATACAATGGGGTGAAGTTTCTTTGGCCTTCATGAGTATATTGAGTAAATCTCTGGTGGTTAAGCCTGGGTGTTACTTCGGGCGAGTGCACCGGACGAGAGGGTGTGGCTGCCCATAGTTGTCTTGGAAAAAGTGTGTTAATCGCGGAATAGCTGAATGAATGACGTCTGTGCTATATTTTGTATCCTTTAAAACCTTCAAAGGAGGTTGTCATACAAATTGTGTACCTCTTCATCCTTTCTCGTGAGATGCTCTACTGCAGTACGGATTCCATGGTAACCATCTGCCAGCGCCATCGGGCCTGCATTGTTGTTACGGAAACGTTACAACTCCCTCCTTGTGGTGTTGCTGCTACCCCACTATCACTTTGGAATTTCGATCTATGATACCACTCGATGTTCCACTTCCCTAATCTATCAAATGTGCCATTATCCCCATCTCGTGCATGATCTGAAAAAGCTCGGTTAAGGTGTACATGATACTTATAACAATCATCTCATTATCTAATGCAATATCAATTATATTGGTCTATGAGATTAGTGCAGCACACAAATCATATTCCCAGCATCGTAATTGCGTGTTGAGTCGCTTTCTTTTTTCTCAGTAATGAGTCTTCTTGAAAGATATCATCATATTTTCATAAGACCGACTCTTTACACTCCGACGCCCAAGTAACATTACAATCACAACCGCGTTTATTAATAATTTGAACTGCATAATAATAGCGAATCAACCAAACCTCCTTTGGCTCCTGCTTATGTTTAGTTATTTTCGGATTATTCGTACGGAAAGTCTATAGCCTATAATTGCTCGTAATGAAAATATGAGGGTGACTGGTTGAAGAAAGTCGAGAGTTCACACTTGTGCGCAGAGAAACATATTTATGGAGAACCCTTCAAGCACATTTACATCACTCAGACATCAGCGTCTGATATCTTGTGAGGACAACTCACCGATGTCTCGCTGAACTGTTATATCTGTACGAGTGCAACGAGAGATCGAATGCGAAAAGGCCTACATACCCGACAAGCGAGTTGATCCTGACCAGGTGAATAATTGAAAGAGCTATTCGTGGGGTCATCGTTCAAGCCGGA